CAAGCATAGTAAGTCAATAGTAAATAAAAAAAAAAATACAACACATTGTTGCATAAAAAGCAAAGTCCATTTAACTTAAGAGGAGACAATTGAGTGGGTTTTCAATATTTTACTAACGGGATATTTGAAAGCCAGTGCAAATCCAGTAAATAGCTGCATAAACAAGAGGATCTGAAAGACAGTAGGGCTGTAGTTTAATGAAATGCATAGCTCCACACAAACTATTTGAAGATGAGGTTTTGTTGTTGGTTTTTTGTTTTTGTTTGTTTTTTAAGCATAAAGAAGATAACCTTCCGGGCTTGTTCACACCAAAAGCGTGTGCATTCCAGAGCGGTAGCAAATGCAAAAAATAGAGCAAGCCCTATTTTTTGCGTTCGCAGTGGAACGGAACGCTGGCAAGGTTTTGCCACGCGTCCGATCGCACTGCGGGGGGGCGTGGATGCGATGCCATTGAATTCAATGCACCGCCACGCCCCAGAACGCGGGGGAAGTTTCTTAGCGATCGCGGTGCGTTCCAGCAGCTACCGCTCTGGAACGTACACACTTTCGGTCTGAACAAGCCCTCCAGCTCTGAGTAGCTTGTATTAGTGAACTGTAAATTGATTTTGAATTGCCATTCCAAATTAGAAAATTTTTTTGTGGATTTGTATGATTTTATTATGGCACACATGTTAGAAGTAGTTCCACCTTAGTTGTTAATAGTTTGTTATTTTTAGGTTTTGTTTTTTTTTCACTCCTTTTCATTTTTACTATCTCAGGATTCTCTTGGCGGTAATGCAAAAACCTTTATTATTGCAAACGTTCATCCTGGATCCAAGAGTTTTGGTGAAACGCTTTCTACTCTTCAGTTTGCCCAGCGAGCAAAACTAATTAAAAACAAGGTAATATTTCAATTTATTATTGAGCAATGTGCTTGACTTTTGCCCTTTTGTGGTCCTCAATTTACTTTTATGGGTACACTTTGTCAACACTGTAAATTTAAGCCTTTGGATGTGTACAGAGAGTACAACCTAGCTGCTTATTAGCTGAGCCTTTTATTTAGGTATTGCTGTACTGCACCAATCCACCCCACTCCCTTTAGTTGGCAATCTGATAATCCTGGGATGTGATTTCTTTGATATTGAAACACCCAGGTTTTTTGCTGTCTTTATAAAACTTGATATTAACTAATACCAGCTTAAAGTTGTTTCTCACCGCTGCCAATCCAATTGTGGCACGGCTCCAGGTGGGACCATGTCTCTGAGGGCTTGCTTTGCAGTTATGGTAATTTGTGCTGAAACACTGTAATGTATGTTGCTAAAGCTTCACTGAGTGCCTTTCACATTTCCCACCACCACCGTTTTCACGGTGGCAAGTTTTACTGCTGATGGATTGAGCTAATCTGCGCTGAACTCTGTCTCGCCATTCAGCATAGAGGAACATCATCATGTTGCTGCTCCTGTTTTGCAAAGCACTAGGTAAAACACTAATCTCCATCTTGTTCCTACTGCCTGCCTACAGTGCCCTGGTTGCCTTCCACACTCATTGGCACCAGCTGCTTTGGTTTGTGAAAACCTAAGGGCTTGCCTCACAATTTGAACCCAGTTGCATCATCACTAAGCGGCTGCAGTATGTCTGTACATAGACAGTGAGGGGACAGTACCAATACAACAAGTGACTCTAGTTTCCTTGGTGTTCAGGGGGCATCTACTTGGTATCCTCTTAGGAAACTGATGCATGCAATCTGAATTCCAGTAACCCTCTAGTTATAGGGTCTACATCATCAGAGTCTCCCTTAGGTGACAGCTCCGTTAGGTGAGGCATTGTCCACTACACTGGCGTATTCATTTAAGGAGAACTTTGTTTAAAAAAAATGGTCTGTCCTCACTCTGGATCCAGCAGTGTCCCGCCTTAACAACGCAACTGCCATTCTGGTGGAGGCTGCACCTGTCTTCAGGGACCCCACTGATAAGTAATTGGAGGCCCTCTAGAGCTGTGTTCTCACAGATGGGTCCTGTTCCTTTATCCTGTCTTATGAAGGACATTTTGGGTTAGTGTTGGACTGCAAAACCCGTGTCCAAGAGGCAACTACTCCATATGACCTTTTGAGGTCATCTCTTTGGGTCTTCTGTGGATGCTATTACCAAGGATGTCACAGATGGCAAGAACACCCATCTTGCTGAGCCAAAGAAGCCTAAGGCACAGTCTGGGAAGACTCATCCCTTTCTGGAGGTTAAGAAAAGTCCCTTTTCATTACTCCCAAGTCTAAACACAAGCCTTGCTCCTTGTCCCTCTACAAGGTCTGAAGCTCCAAGCCTGCCAAACCCTCAGACAAATGTTCCTTGAAGGTGCGCCAGTCTGTCATCGTATGTGGAAGGCAAACTTTACCTGCTGAGAGTATCAAGGCCTCCACCCTTAGAGATTCTCTGGGGTACATATCCTATCAATCCTACAGCTTGGTCTGGAACATCATTTAGCTCTCTGCTCTATTAAGGGTAAGGTTTCTGTTCTTGTCTTGTTTCAGAGACTATTGGCTTTCCATTTCTTTATGAAGACCTTTTTTTGTTTTTAGGGTGTTTTTTTTAAAGGAGAACTATGGGGTTAAGGCTTTTCCCTATAGTTCTCCTTAGGGTAACGGAAGGACACAAACTAGCGTCCTCCCGTCACCCTAGGCTCAGTATACCGCGAGCTATACTGAGACGCTGACGCGGGTCCCGACAATTGCGCCGGGATCCGCCCAGCTGCGTGACTGACAGCTGGCTCTGCCTATCTAAAGGCAGAGCCAGCTGTACCCGCCCCCTCCCCCGTCCGTTCCGCCAGTCAGCGCTGGCGGAGCGGGAAGGGGGGAATCCAGCCCCTTCCCTGTCACGGCAGAGAGCCGTGACAGGATCGAGAGGTGAGCGAACGCCGGTATGCGTTCGTTCACCTCCCGATCTACTGAGCCGACCTGTGACAGTCTCATTGTCACAGGTCGGCTAGAACTATGAGGTGAATGAAAAGCACTCATCTCATAGTTCTCCTTTTAAGTGTTAGTTCCTCTCTGACGCTGTGGGATTTTAATCAGGTTCCTTAGGCATTTTAAAAACCGACCTCTAAATCTATTGGGGTTATTGCCCTTTCCACTTAAGCCCATAAGGTGTTGTTTCTTGTAGCCATCACCTCTGAGAGGTAAGTGTCTTAGCTGGCATCCTTATCCTGTAATAAACCCTTTCTGCTCTTGGACAAGGTAGTGTTGAGACCATGAATTTCCTTCCTAGTTTTTGGCCTTTAATCTCTACAAGGACATTGTACTTCTCTCTGGCTCCATTTCATTAAAAGGAGATTTCCCTTCATTGACTGTAGTTTGGGCTCTCTCTCCCCCTCCCTCTCCCTCCCATTCCATGGCTCAAGCACGCCATTTTAATCTCAAGGGTCAGGTGCCACCCTATTCTGTCAAGGCATGCTCTACAATGTATTTAAGTGCCTCTTGGGAATTTCAGCATTAAGCGTCTGTTTCTGTCAGAAAATGTATGAACAGAAAACTAGATGGTGACAGAAGCTAAGACGTACCAGGTTCATGTTCAGGCCTCACCTGATGCTAGCTTTGGGAGTAGGTCCTTCAGGCATTTTCTTGTTTTTATCTTATGTATATATGTTTTAAGCTACACACCTTAAAAAAATATTCTTTTATTTGGATACATTTAAATGTATTTCTATGCAATTTTCTTCATATGCGGAGTTATAGACAATTTCTGGGAATAATGTGGTATAGACACAAGAATTCTCAGTTAATAGCAGAAAAAAATGGTAGTAACTATGCACAATAATACCAAGTAAAACCTAAATGAAAATTAATCTCACATGGTAAGATCCAAACAACTGCCTGGTCCACACAGCCTACAAACAGGTTACTGCAGGACTTCTAGCTAATTATGCTGTAGATTTCAGTGCTACACAGCCACTGAATTTTGTGTCCAGCTCTTCTCTGGAGTTAATTCTAATTTCTCATCATTGAACACCTCCAGGCTGTAGTTAATGAAGACACCCAGGGGAATGTGAGTCAGCTACAAGCAGAGGTGAAGAAGCTGAAGGAACAGCTTTCTCAGCTCCTTTCCGGACAGATGCCACAGGATATTTCTATTGCCAGAGGTGAGATGAGAAATCAAAAGCATTTCCTATTACCTGCTTAACTCCTTCACCTTCACACTGTGCATGGCATGATAATGATGGTTTCTAGCTGTCACTGCATAAATAATTTGTCACAGCTCTGGATGTCAAATTCCTTGAAACTGACATTTTATTTGACTTTTTAATTAATGCTTTTTTATTTTTAATATACTTTGTGCAAGTTTTGAAACTTAATCTTGGAAACTAAATTTAATCTTTTAGTTCGTCTTGTATCAAGTTTTTATAGTTGCTAATGAGCTGTACTAACTGTTTTATTGATCAAAAGTGCATCTGCCATTGCAACTTTTGTGTTGGGTTCCCATAGACATTAGACAGCTGTCAGTCTGTTGCTGAGTAATTATCTGAATGCAGTATTTTTTTTATTTTTTTTCTACCCAATATAGACATGTCACTTTATAGCCTTGAAGAGTTTGAGCTACATGCTGTAGTGCTGTGCTTATGTCTGTTAAGTGATCTGTAAGAAATTCCAAGCACTCAAACTACGCCATATATGGTGTCTCAAATGTGCCAAGCATTTTTAACTAAAGGCCAAGACATATTTTGATTTGGATGGAGCAAAGCAGTGTTTTTATTAGGGATGCACAGAAATTTTGGCCGCCAAAAATGGTTCCTATGAGTAAATGCCGATAGAACCATAACGGCCAAAAATTCAGTGCATCCATACTGGGTGCCGGTCTGGTGTCCCCTGCTATGCCCGCTGCTCTCCCCTGCCTGTGTCAGCAGAGGCAGCAGGGATCCAAGGGACGCGGACCTGCACCCAGCTGGCAGGAGGGAAGCTGCCAGTAGACCGAGCGGGGTGGTGCGGGGAGGAGGAGGCAGAGTTCTCCTCCTGTACACCGCCCTGCTCGGCCTCCTGTGACAGGCAGAGGAGTCAAGATGGAGAGCGAAGTACAAGCACTCAGCGATCAGTACTGAGATGACATTGTAAGCTTACTGTATCCCCAGTTATGAATGCTCTACATCACTTCCTGTTCATCCATGATTGTGGACATAGTAACTATTGCCATAGTTTATGAATGGACAGGAGCATTCAGTATAGCGGCTTCCTGTTCCTTCATAACCGGCGCGGCAGAAAGAAAGATTGAGGACTCTGTCCTCAATCTCTTTTACTATTTTAAAGGAAAATATGAGGGATCTTTTTAGACCCCTGATATTTCCCCAAAGTCCCCAATTGTGAAGTAAAAAAAAATATATATATATTTTTTTTTTAAATGTTGAAAAAGGTAATTTTCAGTTTCGGCCTGACAAGATTTTTATTTTCGGTTTCGTTCGAAAAATTTCATTTGGGTGCCAGCATGTCTTTGGAGTGTGGGAAAAAGCTGGAGTACACGGAGAAAACCCACACAAGCACAGGGAGAACATGCAAACACCAGGCAGTAATGTCCTGGCTGGCATTTGAAGAGTCATAAAGTAAACGGTTCCTGCTATGCTTTTTTCTTTGAAAAAAATATTGTGAAATGCTTCGAATTCCAACGCTTTGTAAAATTGCTTGCAGTTTTCCCTATTGCCAGCTCGAATAGGGTGCAAAATTGTATATGGCTATTGTGTGCAGATGCCGCTGTGAGTTTTAGTTAACCTTCTCCACACTAGTGTTAGACCCTAAACTATGCCTAACAAATGTTAGCAGGTTAACTGTGTCAAAGTGATCTTTCTTTGGTCAGTCTTTAACCCATAAAAGTTGCATGTGTGCAGCTGCTGGCACATGTACTATTTGTACATATCACACGTACAAATCGCATAATGGGCACTGCTGAGTGTGCAGACCATGGTTTTGCTGAATGTGTGTGTGTGTGTGTGTGTGTCCCTTTCCCAAAACCAGGGTCTGCATCCCCCCCCCTTTCCCACAACCAGGGTCTGTATTATTTTTTTTTTTTAAATTCTTTTATTTGCACAAACATAAGAGCACTCATACAGAGCCAACGATCAAAACAAACGGGCCTTTATGGCCAGGCACGTCATTGCACTCATCTTCGGGATGATACATACAGAGTAGTTGCGCCCGGCCTAACCCCCATACTAAACATTTATACAACAATATTATTGGGCCTGCACCAGTGCTCCCACGACTTTTCCGTTTTTCTAACATAAGATTCACGTATATACACAACAAACAAACCAACTCTACCAGGGATGCTATCCCGCAACCGGCGCGGATAGTTCCCTGATCACCCAAGAAGGGCAAAGGGAAAGGAACTACACTGCAGAAAGTAGAAAAAGACACATATCACAAAAGACAAGACATTCAGGGAAGGGGAAGACAACACCCAAGTCCCGGACCACTGGAGCCACCTTCCTGCGGTCACCACCGCCGATGTTTACACCTGGCTAACCTGGGGAAACTCAGAGGAGCCTCTGAACACGTACCATGCAGCCCAAGTCGCCACAAATTTGTGCTGGGTCTTACGAATTGTTGAGGTCAGGTCCTCCATCAGCCTGATCTCCTCCACTCTTCTCACCCACATCTCCACTGTTGGTGGGCGGGTCTGCCTCCACAGTGACGGGATACATGCCCGCGCCGCATTCAGCAGGTGAATCAGAAGGGATCGCTTATATGCTTTCCGCGAAAGCGGTGTCAGGTGGAGGAGATACGCTGCAGGGGTAAGTGGAAGGGACACACCTGTGATCTTCTGTGCTAGGGTGGCAATCTGGGACCAGAAGGTAGCCACTCCCGGGCATTCCCAAAAGATGTGCAGTAGAGAACCAACCTCTCCCTCACATCGCCAACACGTCTCTGGTACCGCAGGGTACATAGTATGTAGAACCTTTGGGACTCTATACCACCGTGTTAACAGTTTGTATCCTGCCTCCTGATATTTAGTCGACACAGAGGATTTGAGAGCAAAGTGCACCATCCGGTCCACCTGCTCGGGGCTAAACTCTACAGGGTCTGTATTATTAATATGCAGCCACATAGCCGGCACAAACCAATTCTTTAGAGCAACTGAAGCCAGTTAAAGATAAATAATTAACTTGGAAAACATTTTTTTCTTTTTTTTAAAAAAAGTGTTTTTAAATGATTACAAGTCAGCTTTAAATACAATGAGGGGAATTTATCAAAACTGGAGCAGACAGAATCTGGAGCAGTTGCCCATGGCAACCAATCAGTATCCTCCTTTCATTTTCAAACCTTGACTGAACAAACTGAAGAGAGGAGCTGGTTGGTTGCAATAGGCAACTGCTCCAGATTTCTCTGCTCCAGTTTTGATAAATTCCCCCCATTGTTTTTAGTTCTGGTACAATCTGGGACATTTCTTGTATATCCTATATTAGACTATCATATGCATTATCTAAAAACACCTTGCTATTTATCTTTTTATTGTTTGGCACACGGTTTGCTTAGTTATTCCCCCTTTTTATCCTGTATCTTCACATCCAGCACCTTCAATTGATGAGAACATTACAGAATACATGAATAACTTTTTAGAGGCAATGATGCTTTTGGAGAAATCGGAAAATGGGAAGAAGGTAAGGTAATGGTTTATTTAAGAATTGGAAGTTTTTAGGTTCTATGCTCTCACAAGCAGGGTCCACCTACCCCTCTTGAATGATCTGTATTATATCTGTACTGTCGTCCTGTTGTGTTTTTTTGTAAAGTGCTGCATAAGCTCTTTTGCACTATACAAGTCCTGTAAAATAATAATTGCTCTTCCTGTAATTGTAGCTTGACTGTGTGGCTGTCTGCAATGTCAAAATATTGGCCATGCTGCCCACCAGAGATTTCCATATACTGACTTAAAGTAGTATTAAAGTCTTGTATGTTAAAAAAAAAAATCTACTGCTAGCAAGCAGTAGATATATGCAAAACAGTTTTTAAAATAAAAAAGGTACCAAACAGGTAAAAACGTACCCCTGTCTCCGCCGCGCACTCCTGACTGTAAAATCCAGCTTCCTGAACGGCCGTGCAGGAGGATGTGTGCGGGTGCATGCGTAGTGGATGCCACTGGCGAGGAGAGCTACAGTGAAAGTCAATGCATGCAGACTCTGGGACAGGAACAAGCCGCAGCCTGTGCTGGATCAGAGACCGGCACCAGCGCTGGAGGGATTGCTTGTAACGACTGGAAGGAAGACTTTTGGCTCAAGTGGCATCACATAAGGTAGGACCTTACAGGAGAATTTGGGTAGGAGGGGTGGAGGGGGAATTAGTCTTTAACCTCCCTGGCGGTATGATTTTAGTTTTGTTTTTTTTATATCCCGCCGGTTCTGCCCCCCTGCGACACGTACGCTCCCAAGAGACGGATGCTGGCAGCGGCCGGAGAACACAGCGCGGCTCGAGGAACAAGGTAAGTAATGCTATGCGGCATTCCCGAGTGTAGTTAGGGGTTACTGCTTATGGTATGGAAAAGTAACCCCGAGCTACACTCGGGAATACCGCCAGGAAGGTTAATGTAACTTTAAGGTACATGTTTCAGATATTCATAGATACAAGGATACAAGCAGCTAGCACAGTCAGAACAATTTAGCGATTGTCCTGTCATTTGTGCCAAGAACGCTGCTTGCAGTGTCCTTTTCATCCATTCCTGTCTGGACTTGGGACAATGGTGGATGTAATGGCAACATGTATATCTGCTTTACCCGTGACTTCTGTTACAGCAGTTATGTTCCTAATTCCCACAATGTTGTTTTTCATCACATAGTAAATGTAGTCTTATCAGTATTATGAATTAGGATGGAACCTTCACCTTTTACAGTTCAAAATTGTTCTGCAGGCCTTATTACAGAAAGTAGCCCAGCTGGAAGACCTCTGCAGCAAGAAAGAAAAGTTTATCCAGTCAAACAAAATGATTGTGAAATTCAGGGAAGATCACATTGCTCGACTTGAAAAGGTTCACAGGGATGGCCGGACGTCCTTGTCAAATAATGAACAAGATGACCTCATAGCAGAGATGAAGGAAGAGCTTAGAGTTTTAAAAGAACAGGTACAAACTAAAATACTTTGATACAGAACATATTTCGTGTGTGTGTATGTATGATATATATATATATATATATATATATATATATATATATACACATACACACACACTGAAGTGCAGGATCCTTGTGGTGTCTACAAATACTGTACTTGTGTTTAGCCTTCTAACTTATCCCTGTGACTGTACATGAGGATTGATTTACCTCTCTGCAAATATCACATACTCCAATGCTTAGAAATTTGTTGCTTGTGACTGGCCCCTGAAGAATATTCTTGAAGCAGTTTCTTCAAGAATGCATTTCAACAGTTGTTACTATTCTTGCAGGTCTGGTTTGATATGGCAGTCGCAAAAATCTAATCTGATAAATCAAATTAAGATCTGAATGGTTCGCTAAATTTCCTAGTCGTCTGTGAACACGAAATAATTTAAATGACAAATTTGTGTTTTTGATATGCATAAGGATATTGATCACACAGAACAGTCATTTGTTTCCCATACATAGACCAATTATCAGGTTATATGTGAATCGTCTTAATCTGCCAGATCACAAGACAAATAGATCTCTAACGTATCTGATATTTACTTTAGGATAAATTGGCAAGATCTTGCATTAAGGGTTGCCATAAACGGCCTATGCGGGGGGCCCACATAACATGTTTTCGTCTGTGGTTTGTTTTAGACTAAATGCAATGCTATCCAATCTTGTACCAATTTCTCAGTCGTACAGTCTCACAATTATCAATTGCTGCAAAAACACAACCTAAAATCTATGAGATACAGATATAGGGTGACTAAATAGACCTGTAAACATTTTCTTTGCAAATTGTTGACTATTTATATGCATTATGTTTAGATTGAGCATCATCCTCGAGTGGCCAAATATGCATCGGAGAACCACAGTCTAAGGGAAGAGAATAAGAGTCTCCGCTCTCTCCAGTCTCTAAAACGAGCACAAGAAATTAACAATCAAATGATTGCAGATCTTGAAAGAGCTTTCTTAGAAGCTTCCTCAGCTGCAAAGAGTAATGGAGGTAAATTTTAATTTTTTCCTGTTTTTATTGAGGCTAATTAGACTGTTCACCAACTATTATCATAGGTATAAGTAATATCACACATGTTTGATGTCAGATGAATAAAGGAATAATAAGCCAGAGAAGAAAGAAGCCCTTGGAAGTGGGTGGGAGAAGAGGGTATCTTCTCGCCTGTCTGCTTGCCTTCTGTAAGGTAGAGATTTAAACTTGGATTTGACCAGGATTTTAATTTCACGCTTTGCAACCGTGTGTCTGTCACTTTGTGGTATGGGCAGGTCTTGTAAGGAATAATTCCCTTTTAAGGCTATAATTAATCAATATTTTCAGTACCTTTTAGTCACTGACCTGAAGAAACTAGGAATGTCTGACTTTTCTGATCTTCATCTTTATGCCTGTTAAATTAAACTACTAATCTAGGCACCTAGTATTTAAAGAAAGGAGATACATCAGTAAAACTGAGCTTACTTGGATGTGTATTTTTATTTATTTATTTCTGCACAAGATGCATACATATTTCACACGTTTTTCTGAGTGGGTTCAATTGGAAACCTGTGAAAGTTGGATGAATCCTAGGTGAAAATAATTATAAATGGATCCCCAAGTGTATATTATAAAATGCATATGTACAATTTATTTTTTATGAAATTTTTTTTTTTTTAGATCCTGGAGTTTTTCTAAAAACAAATACTGTTAAGTTGAATATTAATGCAACCTTTTATAACTGAAGTTTAGTCACCGTGGGCCAGTGAAGTCTGTGGAATAAAGATTTGTGGTACTGGGGAATTGGAAACCATTTGTGGTTTTTGCCTCCCTTATTTTTTTTTTTTTTTTTTTAATAAAGCTGTCTAGGAAAAATTTATTTCCATTTGTTTTATGTTGAAGTTAGAAATCAATATCAACCTTTTAAAATCGGAAACCTAAAAATCTGGACCTAAAATGCTGTTGGGCATATTCGATAAAATGATAAATGTGACATTCACTGCAAGTGAATTGGTTACTGTAATGTAAATCACATTCACCAGGAAGATTTACGTGCAGTGATTGTCACATTTATTTCTTAATATTGCCCTACATGCTTTCTTTGGCCACATAATTACCTTTTTTATTTTTTTTCTCCTCCACTTTCTTTTCTCCTGTGTCTAGCTTTACCAATGCACTCCACACCAATACACTCTGAAAATAGTATGGTTTCTACGGAGAGACTAAAGGAGAAGGTACTTCAGCTTCAAAGTGAGCTGGCCACAGCAAAACAAGAATATGAAGAATTCGAAGAACTGACAAAGTTAGTGGGTATAGTCCTCTTCTGCTCCTTTTTAATACAATGTACCCTTCGCTCATCAATGTAATACTTAGGCTTTCATTGATGAGCTGGTTGCCTGGCTGTTATGTTGATCCAAAGGCTCCAATACTGTGTTACTGACCCCAAACAAGCATGCAGATTAGGCGGTCTGACTTGCAAGAGAGATTATTCCCTAGTCACCCCTCTGTTAGTGATGCCCTTCATACATCAGTGATACTTCCACACATTTGATTATGAACATCTTTCAAAAATTGTTTAATGCCTAAAAACCACAATTGGCCTTGTAATGATTTTAGACTGCACCTTTCCTGTAATTGCACTTGATGCCGGTTACTTGATATACAAGGGTTCGTGTGCAACAAGAGCAGTTCTTGCAAAAAGCTGGGAGATATCAGTACAACAGAGGTGCATAATAATAAATGTCAAATTTAATCTTAGATGGGAATGTAGACTTTAGCAGTAACAAATGTATATGTTCTATTCCATTAGGAAGAAGCAAGTTGAACTGGAGTCAGAGCTTCAGTCTTTGCTCAAATCTAACCAGCATCTTGAAAACATTTTGGGGGCTATTAAAGCTAACAAGAGGAATGAAGTGTTTCAACTGAACAAAATGCATGCCGAAACAATAAAGGTAAAAATCCATTGTACTGGACAAGATGCAGATAAATGTGCACATAAATATCTGTGAAGAACCTTTTCTGTTGTGCTGCGTATAGGGCCCATTCACACTTCTCCATACTGTTGTGCTTTGTATTGCCATCCAATTTAAAAGGCACCCCAAGGCTCTAATACAGTAGGAGGGCAATGTGCACGAACTACAGCCCATCGCAACGCATTGCATGTGGTGGGGAATCGATTGCTGATGCCATCCTTTGGGTAGAGTGCTGTGTGCATGGACTCTGCTCTCCTTTCAGCCTGGACAGAGTATCCTCCTGTTGCTGCTCCTCATCACCGTGTAGACCTCCAGTCTCTGATCTGTTCTGCTGCCCACCTACAGTGACTTGGTCACCTCCAGTTGCCTAAAATCCACACCAGCTGCCTGTAAGTACTTGGGGCCTTGCTTCACTTTGGACCTGGTTGCATTACTGCTGTGTGGATGCAACGTGTCCTCACTAAGAAACACAGAGGACAGTGTATGGATGACTTCAACCCCTACTCTTCTAACGGTTCTGAGAGTGTTTACCCGGTATCCCCAGAAGGATGGAATAGACCCCTTCAAACCAGAACCTGAGGCTCCTAGTGTAGGGTCATCTTTGTTAAAGTCTTCTACAGCTCGGTTGGCAAGGCTGGGGCCTCCCCCATGTCCACAGGTACCTCCTAGGTTCACTCTGTGATTGCTGTATGTTTGTGCCCATTTTCTGGTACAGTCTGCATGCATAGACTATGTGCTCCCCAGCACCAGTTCTTGAGCCACCTCAACTCAGATGACTTGGATTTATAAGCGGTTGTCTCAGACCCGATTGATGCAGTGTATACTACCCTGCATCTGTAGGGTCAACCTTTTGCTCCAGGTCTAGGGTCTTTTAAGAGCTGTGGTTCTCACTGCGTGGGTCACGACCCAAAAGGGGGTCACAACCCCATGTTTAGTGGGTCGCCGTGTACCTTCCACTGTGTTAGGGGGATGCTGAGGAGCCTTTCCCCTATCACAGCACTGTCACTTTTCGCACAGAGCAGCCATTCAAAGCATGCTGCCCGGTGCCGAGTGTCAGCTTGGGGTGGGCTGGGGGTATGGCTGCAAAGGAGCTCCATTCATATGCATGAATTGCTTATAGCTCCCTCGCATGCCCTGTAGAGGTGCCTGGAGTGACGTCTCATTCTGACTTCTAGCACCTCCACAGGGTGTGCAAGGAAGCTGTACAAGCAATGCACATATGGATGGAGCTCCGTCACAGCACAGCAGCCCACACTGGATCACAGGCTGAGCATCCACTCCAGTCCTCGTAAGGTAGGGAGACTGTGCAGGATTTTTTTTAAATTACTTGGGTCGTGCTATGTTGACAAAGGACAAATGTTTATCCTGAGGTTACACAGGTTGAGAACCACTGTTTTAGAGCTCCTATAGCTGCAAAGACCTTGTTGCTACAGCTGCTGTTCCATTCTTTCCTTTGACTGGAAACACCCTGAAGGATCCTGGGCCCCTCCAGAAATTTTCAGAGCTTTTTCCCTTTGAGATTGAGCTCCTAAATCAAATGGTCTCTTCCCATCATAGATGTACCGTTACCAGACGGGTTAGAGGTGCTTTCACCTTTTCAGGATTTTACCAACAGACATTTCCCTAAGATCCCAGTTTGAATTGACTGGAGTGACTCTCAAAGAGGAATCCTCCATCACTAGGGAAAGCCATCTGATCATAGGTGGATAAAAATCGATTTTATTTTTTTTAAAGTCAAAAAAATTGTATTTTTTTAATTTAAATTAGATTTTTTTTATTTTTACAAAATGTATTTTAATAAAATGCTTTTGGAGTAAAAATCTATATAAAGATAGTTTTCTATTTAATATACATTAATACTTTAGTTTATTCAGCATGAAATGGAGCTTAGTTATGTACCGTAGCATGAGGCTGTATATTCTGCAATATTTAAATTTTTGGTAAACTCATTCAATGAATCCAAGCTCTGCAAGCTGAGATAACATGCACTGCATTGATGCATTCACACACTTTCACAGTAAGTAACAATGAGATAAATCATAACGCAAAGTTCAGGAATATTCCTTTATCCCATTGTTTTGCAAATCCACTCACCTGCTGCCCGCCACGTCCCTCACCTTGTTGTGTCACTGCCGCATCAACCGCCGTCCCATTAAAGTGAACGGGACTGTCGGTGAGTCAATAGCGGGTGAGAGGAGGAGGAGCTGCTGCGGGACAGAGATGACAGTTGCTCTTTAAAAATTATGATTTATATCAAGCCTTTTTACTAGTGATTTTAAATCGTGATGTAAATTGACTTGATTTAAATCAAATCCACCCTGGCAAGCATCAAAACCCATGTCACGCACGGGACTACTATCCATACAGATGTGTAAAGTTGTGTACTTGGGAAGCTGATGATGCATTAAAGGATCATCGGATTTGGTTGCCCTTCAATGGATGTGGTCTCTTTGGACCTTCTCTTGACACAGTAATTAGCAATGCCACTGGCGGATGAGGCATGCTCCTGTCTCAATGCAGGAGGTCTGTGGAAAGGATGGAGGAACCCCATCCTACTCCTTAGTCTACTACCGCAGTTGTACATAGCCTGCTTCTCATTCAAACCACAGTGTTTGCAGCCAGAGGTTTTACAACCCCTTTGTTACTCCTTCAGGAGTTTTCTCTTGGTGGTAATTGGAAAAAATGTTTTCTTGTAGTCCATTGAGAGACCTGGGTCCCACTTCTTCTTCTTTTTTTTTTTCTGACCTTGTGTATTGATTTCTCACAACTGGCTTCCCATGTCCCAACCTCCTGAACGCAGCAGTATATCCCACCTGAACTAGAATTACTGTGCCCCTCAGTGGACTTCAAAAGAAAAAAGATTTTATGCAACAAAAATCTTATTTTTTTCTGACTCATGCTGAGCCAGTGGAATCACTATTTGGAGTCAATGACATAGACGGGTATGTAGTTTAGGAATTATGATTTTCACGCTGGTTTTCCTGGGTCAGTGAAGTGGTACAGCAATGGCAGCCTTTTTAGTAGATATTTTCATTTTTAAGCAAGGGCTTCATAGGCAGTTTTTAGTTTCTTGCTACTTTTTTTTTAAAGATAATTTTTTATTGATTTTTGCAAGTGTCAGAGACACAACAATGATAACAACAACACCATCACAAACAACAATTGGGTCAACATAACCCAGGCATTTACACATCAGTACACTCTCTATGTTTGTCATGAGGTTACAAGGTACACAAGCTGTGGAAATGCCGCTGGAACCGGGCCAATTTTTCGGCCGCTGAGACGTCCCTTTGGTCCCCGATTTTCCCCATCGCAGCTGCCAGGAGGATCCTGAGGGAGAGCGGAAGGAGCCCGGGTGCCGACCGAGTCGCTGGAACCGTCAGGATAGGGTAAGGATGAGAGTGGGACCGGAGCTGCTGTGATCAGCGTCCGTCCATGCACGCCGCTTGGCCACCCCCCCCAGTTTCTTGCTACTTAGAGTTTAAACCACTTGTTGACAGAAATCAAATTAGCAGTTTATTTGTTTTAGTGTGATACAAATAAACAAGTGGTAAAAATGCTTACTAAATATATGAACAACCTTAACTAGTACTATAAAGTAGTTTTCTTCTACAGGTTATCTGGCAGCTACGGGACACAAATGGTATCTGTAGTGTTATACGATCATTTGCACACAAAGTATTGCTCCAATGTCTGAATACCTGAAAACCTGTTGTACAGCCCCTTCCGTCTCCTCACGGCCACACCTCCGTTGCGCCAGGGTGACTGCTGGGTAATGCAGTCCACTGGCCAGCGGGAGCTCTCCTGCTCCTCAGTTCGCCGCGGGCGGCGTGAGAGAGTTAAAATGAATGTAAAGCTCCCGACCGGCCGTTTAATTACAACAGCCGGTCGGGAAGCTACTCGTCCAGCACTGGCGTCCACTCGTCACAGACGAGTGCATTTTTCGAGCCCTGTACATTACAAAGTATCCAAATCGCAGTACGCATCATTTAGTGATAATCAAACATACATCTAAAGGAAGATTTATTTGGTTTCTTTATATAATGTACACGCACTCTTTCCTCCTTTTTTAATTATTTGACTAGTCTGTATTTGTTGTTCTACCATGCCAGATTCTGACTACTCCAACAAAAGCTTATAACTTAAGATCAAGACTTGTTCCTCGTATGAGCCCAGATGGCACTGAGCAAGATCTGCTGGACACTCCTAAATCTGGGGATCATCTTGACAACATTATCAATGAACCCATACCTCCAGAGATGACTGAACAAGCCTATGAAGCTATTGCTGAGGAACTCCGAGTGATGCAGGTAAGGCTAAAATATGTTGATGCAAACTAATTCTGGGCTATGCCATTCTGCACTGACACAAACAAGCTTAAGATAACTATGGGATAAGTGTTTTTCCCCATAGTTCTCTTTAGGGTCACGGGCGGACATATACTAACCTCCTCCCATCATACAAAGCTCAGTATATCGCAGTGAAATATCTGGGGTCTAAACAGACCCCTGACATTTCCTTTTTGAAATAGAAAAAGAAATTGAGGACACAGAGTCCTCATTTCTTTTTCTGCATCCTCAGCACTCAATGAATCAGAAGCACTCGGTAAAGAGGCTTCCCATTCATTTGGAAACTGCTGATAGTAAAATATTTTACTGTTTCTGAATGGGGAGGAGCCTCTATAGTGAGTGCTTCTCCCCATTGAGAAAATCATGAATGGACAGGAAGTGATGTAAATCACATCCTGTTCATTCATAACTGGGGACACAAAGTACTATGTGTCCCCAGTTATTGACAAACACTGGAGTGCTCAGACGATCTCTACAGTGTTTGTTCTGCACACGGCGGATCGGTAAATATCAATGATCTTTATCGATTCCCCCGCTCGGCCACGCACAGAGCCGATGTCATCCGGAAACTGACAGGGTGACAGCGGCTCCACTCGGCCATCCTGAAACTTGCGGCTTCTCCCCACCAGCCGCCGCTCGCCCCCCTGCCAAAATCCCCCGCTGTATGCCTTACGGCGGTGGCGGGGAAAGGGTTAAACAACTGCATGGGTAGCACCAAGCCAGTGCTTTCTGTTTAGTAGCTGTGCATGTAGTCAGACAATCCCTACTTACACTGAGTCCAGTTTAAATTGAAGTGGGTTTTCCAAAATCACTTGTTTTATTAGAGTTGTAACTGTCGGGCAAACGTACACATTAAGCTTCACATACAGTCCAATTCAGCTTGCTGCATAATAAAAACTAACCTAACACAGGGAAATGATGTGTACTTGGTAATCCTCAAATCACCTGTTCTAAAGCTAGCCATACAGTGGTAGAAGTTTGGTTGATACCTGTGAATCGGCTTAAAATCTAACAGTGGCTGGCCCTGCCGGCTCGACAAAGCCGTTTACTCATTTTGCCGAAGAAGCCAGGCTGAAAATTGTTGGCCGAACAGTGAATGTAGCCACTCGGCTATGGTCACTGGGTATTCGGCAGTCGGAGTACAATAGCTTGCTGGGACAGATTCCTCCTTCTACACTGTTTAGCGTGGATGGAGGAATATTGTTAGATATCTTATGTTCACTCTGCAGGCTGAGCGAAAAAATTCTATTAACGTATGGCCAGTTTAAGAGAGAATCCTCTGCCCTGTTGCTTGTCTGCACTGACCTGTCCTCTCAAATGCCAGGTTAGCTGATCCATGCTGAAAACCTTTACCTCCCAGGTTGCCCCCTCTTCATGTGGATTCAGTCAGAATTAATAACGAATGAGCTACAAGAGAGGCAGAGTTCTGCTATAAAGATTTTCTCAACTGTCCATTGGTAGACTAAATTAAAAAGACGGGATGATGGCAATTCGTACATACTGTAACTTAAGATGTCTTTGTTATTACATGACAAGGCAGAACATGGAAGCCACTCCATTTATAACTATATTAGAGAAATTCTACACCAGGGAGGCACACATCGTCTTCAGCTACCATGGGGGGGGACTGAATGTCCGCACCTTCATCTTGCCCATGGAGCTACCTCTGAGATGAGCCTACTCTCAATTTGCTATATATGTCACAGTTTGGGCTCTCCTACCTTAGAGTTAAGAACTACACTTTGCTGAGGTGCCCAGGTGTGTCGGTGTAGTTTTATCTACAGTATTGTTTGCATACAACAAAACCTGGTTTTAATCTACGTGCTAGAAACCTTTTTATAATTTGGGGTTTTCGGGTCTGGCAAGCTGGGATGAGTGCTAATTACATTTTCTAATGTTCTGTTTAAATTATGCTACAGGAGCAAGTGACCACCCTGCAAGCTACACTTGATGAGGAAGAGAGCAAGAATATGAAACTACAACAACAAGTTAACAAGATGGAGCATCATTCATCTCAAATGGAAGAGGTTAGTTGAACATCATGTTGCATTATTTGCGGCACAGTTGCTGGTCTTTTCATTTATTAGTATTTTTTTTTTTATTGTGGACATAGCTTGAGTTATTACAGCATTGCTTACTGCAAATGATTGTGACTTTGTTTGCTTTTCCGTGGTGTTTAATATTATTTAGGGATGCACCGATATATCGGCCAAAAATGGCACTTTTGGGTAAATGCCGAAAGTGCCATTTTTGTGCCAATACATCGGCGCATCCCTGGTTTCTTTCCTCCCCGCTGGGCGCTACTCTGTGTCTCAGCGGGGAGGAGAGAAACTGTGACAGCCGGCCGAGCGCTGTGAGAGGAGAGCGCTGTGAGCGGCCGGCATCTCTGCTCACAGTCCGGTAGAGCGGTGTGGGGACGGAGACAGCCCGCACTGTCACAGGTGGCTGAGCTCTCCTTCCTGCTCCGCTCGCTCAGCCTCCTGTAACAGCTGTCAGGAAGGAGAGCAAGTGCAAACACTTAGTGATCGCTGAGTGTTTGTACATAATTGAGGACATGGTATGTTTACTATATCCTCAATTACGTGTATGAATGAATGGGAAGTGATCTACATCACCTCCTGTTCATTCATAGTTGTGCTTATATTAAACATACTATCTTCATGTTATGAATGAACAGGAACACTCATAGAGGATTCCTGTTTATTGATAACAGGGGATACAGAAAAAGAAATAGAGGACTTTGTGTCCTCAATCTCTTTTTCTATTTTTAAAGGGAAATATCAGGGGTCTGTTTTAGACCCCTAATATTTCCCCAAAGTCCCTAAAAGTAAAGTAAAACATATTTCGTAAAAAAATGAATTGATGCATAAAAATAAATATACAAAAATGTAAGTTTATAAAATATTTAAAAAATGTGAATAAAATAAAAAAACATTTTCGGTTTCGGCCTGACAATTGTTTTTCAGTTTTGAAATTTCCATTTCGGTGCACCTTTTAATATTATTTGTGTACATTCATCCATTAGCGATCAAGCTGATCTTTTATATGTACAGTAAATCTACAAAAGGACTGGAAAGAATTCACAGTTGCTGATCATACATGTCCTTTTGTAAACCTAGGTGTAATGAAGCGTGATTTCTGTTCATAAACTATAGTAAGTTTTGCTGCAGCAAGTATCTGCACCATTGAAGCAGAACATTAGTTGAATATTGAAAATTTGTAAGCAGGAAGGTAATGTTTATTGCACAAGAGACAAGCCATGCATACACAGCTCGGTATTCAATTCCAGCATCTGCTGAAATGAATGATTTTCCACGCACATAAATTTACATTATCCTGGCTCAGCCAACCAAGAGTATAGTTCTGCCTCCAAGTCCCCATTTTCTAAAGGAGATTGGATACCTGTCCTGGAAAGACACTTAAACATTTTTTCCACATGACAACTACATGGAATGTTCTGTGAATAACACTACAGAGCACTGTAGCTGGAGGAGTGGCAGGTCACATGACTTTGACATGTGACTGACTGGGCTCACGTCCTTCCAGATTTATTACCCCCTCCTACTCCTAGCATTTTTCCAGTTTTGCTATTGTTCTAGGACAGTGATGGCGAACCTTTTTGAACCCGAGTGCCCAAACTGCGACTCAAAATCAATTTATTTACCTCAAAGTGCCAGCGCTGAAAATAAGTTTAGTACTGTATTGCAGTTCGGGCGCTCGGGTTTAAGAAACGTTCAACATCACTGCCTTAGGCCCCAATTCACACCAAGCGACATACTCCACAAGCGGGGCCGGGATAGCGCGACTGTTCGGGGCAACCTTCACCGTCGGGCTGCATTCAAAGATAGAAAAATCGTGCGACATCCGCGGGGAAAAAAGGGTCCTGCTGAAGCGACGGCGACATGGAGCTGTACATTAGAACAGCTCCATTGAATAACATTGGCCGGCAACTTCTCGCGATAATGTGCAAAATAGCGGGATTTTACGCACAGTGTGAATGGGGCCTTAGACAAAATAGGGAAACACGCATATTCAAACATTTATAGACTTAATAAAACACATACACACGTAATGAAACCCACACATAGGTCGGATCTATTTCCATTGGTGGTCCCTGAACCTGGGCTCGCGTGCCAGCAGAGAGGGCCCCGTGTGCCCTCCCTGGCATGCGTGCCATAGGTTCGCCACCTCTGTTCTAGGAGGATGGACATCTTTTCTCCGCTCTGTTGAGAAAAGTTTTAAAGGTGTAGACAAGTGGCAGGTAGACTTCCTCAGCCAGCAGTGCCTGGACCCAAGGGAATGGTCTCTACAGTCCTGGCCAAAAGTTTTTAGAATTACACAAATATTAACTTTCACAAAGTCTGCTGCTTCAGTTTGTATAATGGCAATTTGCATATACTCCAGAATGTCATGAAGAGTGATCAGATCAATTGCAAAGTCCCTCTTTGCCATGAAAATGAACGTAATCCCCCAAAAAACATTTTCACTGCATTTCAGCCCTGCAACAAAAGGACCAGCTGACATCATGTCAGTGATTCTCTCGTTAACACAGGTGTCAGTGTTGACGAGGACAAGGCTGGAGACCACTCTGTCATGCTGATTGAGTTAAGGTGCCCATACACCTGTCGATTATCGTACGATAATCGCGGGAAATCCCGCGATCGTATGATAATCGACAGGTGTATGGAAGGCGTGTGACCGTTTCTACTGTGCGGTCGCACGTCTTTTGTCTCCCGAGCAGGCTTGAAAACCCGCCGAGAATCGTACGATTGTCGGCAGGTTAGTGCCGTTCTCGGGAGACAAATGCCGGGCGCTCTGGTGTGCTCCAGCGCACACTGCCCATGCGGCATTGCAGTCATCGGAAGCCCGCTCCTCCGCGGGGCAGGCTTGCGATGATCGCAACTACGATCTGCCTGTCCAAGATGGGCAGATCGTACGTTTTTTAAATTGCCTTACAACCATCGCAAGACAAAGGTCTTGCGATGGTTATAAGGTGTATGGCCAGCTTTAGAATAACAGACTGGAAGCTTTAAAAGGAGGGTGGTGCTTGAAATCATTCTTCTTCCTCTGTTAACCATGGTTACCTGCGAGGAAACACGTGCAGTCCTCATTGCTTTACACAAAAAGGGATTCACAGGCAAGGATATTTCTGCTATTAAGATTGCACCTAAATCATCCATTTATCGAATCATCAAGGAGAGAGGTTCAGTTGTTGTGAAGAAGGCTTCAGGGCGCCCAAGAAAGTCCAGCAAGCGCCAGGACCGTCTCCTAAAGTTGATTCAGCTGCAGTTGATTCATGCTCTTGGTATCACAAAACAGAAGCATACTGTGAGTAGGAGGGGTTATGCTTGACTTGTCCGCAGCGTTTTGTTTGCTAGTGGCAGGATTACGCAACAGTCTCTGAATTCCTGTGTCCATTAATGGACTCCAATTTTACAGTACAAAATTGCAGTTATCTGACACAGTCAGACTTTAGCGCTTGTCTTTCATTAAAAATCATCTGCCAGCAAATCTGACCTTGTATCTTCCAGCTTTTCTCATCAGAAAGGGCAAGCTGGAACAACAAGCATCAAGAACTTCTTGCACAGATTAATGGTTTTGAAAAACGACAGCAAGACTTTAAGAGCGGAGAAGATGGTAAGCAATCGTGCAATGTGGGCTTTAATGTGTCTAAAGTGTGGATTATGCAATGTGGAGGAGCGGAAATCATGCAATAAGTTACGAGTGCTGGCCAAAATCTGTTCAGATAAGATTCTTATAAGCACCGTATGGTAATGGTGCTATACCCTATATCCTCAACAGGTGGCACTGCAGGTGAAATCTAATTGCATTCGCAATAAACATGGGGCAATTTGGACTGTAGTTTTGCTGTGCTATTAATCTATACAACCTTTGCCTCATAAAAGCCTAAAATGTCCCTTTCCCAATGCTAGTGTAAGGAGGCACAGGTAAGTGGGTCTCGGCTGCCTTAGAATTCTTAGATCTCTGGACGGAAGCGTGGTGGAGACACAGGTTTAAACCCCTTTTTGTTAACTTTTTTTTTTATGTTTTTTGCATATATCTACTGCTTGCTAGCAGTAGATATATGCAAAAAAAAAGCCAGGTTTTAATAATCTTTTAAGTGGTTGACACAAGCTCTAAAATGATCGCAGAGTTTATGCAGAGCTAAAACGGTCCCTATAAAATCAAAACGGATGATCAGTTCCCAGGAAAAAAAGTGCTATTTAAAATATAACCTGTGTGCCACCTTTTAAAACTACCATGGCTTTTGTGTGTGGTAAAATGGAGAGGGCATAAACCAAT